TTCTCACTGGACTCTTGGAATTATCCTGGAAGGGAGGGAGCCATGGATGATCCTCGAGCTGCCTCTTCTTACCAGACATGGGCTAATGCCTGTGGGAGCTTTGAGCCTCTTTGTCAGTAAAATGTAAATAACAGCAGCTATCTGATGGCTCTCTTGGGTTGCTAGCTTAATGAATGCAGCAAAATGCTTGGAAGAGTGCTGGCCACACTTGCCTTCTTATGAGATGAGGGCTCTCTATGTTGTCCAGGCTGGCCTCAGATTCCTGGGCTCAGGGATCCTTCTGCCTCAGCCTCCTGAATAACTAGAATCTCAGGTACTTGGGACTGTGCCTGGCCTTGGTTACATTTAAATCAACAGGAGAAGGCCAAGGAAGTTCTGAGGCTCACATAAGGGTTAGGTTTCACTTAAATTTGTTAGACTATTCATGAATGAAATGTGCTTTCTACAGAATAAAATGGTTGGCTAGTGAGTGCACCCACAGTGATGAACTCGATCCGTGTACACACCTGTGTGGCCCATAGAGGTCATGGGAGACAGAGCCTTATCTTTGCTTTTGTTTGTTTGTTTTTCTGTCCACACCGCAATTCCTGCCGGTTCTTGCAGAAGTGGGCAGGTTCAGCCCTGAATCTGACTAGGGAAGTGTTGTGAATCTTTCCACTGCCCCATTGAACATATCAGTCTCTTGTTTGCACCATCACAAGCCTCTTCCTGCATCTCCCTGGAAGTCCTCCAAGTCTCTGGTCCCTGTAATCAAGGAGCCCCCACAAGTGGAGCAACACCCGTCACCTCTGTCCCCAGCCCCTGTCCTGACACCCAGCATCACCCTCACCACACAGGACCTGGGGCTTTGACCTCACCGCCTGGAGTTCCAGCTTTCCTGGTTCCCTGATGATCCCCAACCCCTCCACGCACTGTCCCTTCTCAGGCTGGTCCTTCCTTCCTCCCTCAGCTTCCATTTGTCAGTCCCTCTACCCAGTCCTTTCTGGACCCTGTCCTGAGCGCCATTGTGTCCCTCACTGCTCGTGTGACCAGGGCTCCTTCTGTTCATGGCACGAGGGTGGGTGGAAGACATGCTAGCTGAGTGACCACATGAATGATTTAATGGCCAGGCTGTGGAGGGTTTCCATGTGGTGATATCTACAGGCAGAGTCTCCCTGAAGACTCAGGACCCCTCTAAAGACCCCCATGGATTCAGGGCATGGTGGGGGCGGGTGCTGCCATGATGGCGAACCCTAGAAAGCTCCAGGGAGAGTGCAGCTTTTGGCTCTCTGCTGCCCGCTCCTGGTAGGGGTAAGAGAGCACTTTGCTCCTAAGACAGTTAAGTCCACTCTCCTAAATCATGGCCTGGTAAACTGGTGTTGGTCAACTTGGGTGAGGAAAAAAATTGATGTTCACTGCTGCCTTATGGATATGGAGCATTTCCTTGATGTATACACGAGGCAACACTGCTCCCCGTTATGGTTAGCAGTACATGGTTCTCCATCGATACTGTGCACCCTGACCTCTCAGGATACGTTACAGCTGCTGCAACATCTTAATACACGGTTGTTACTCACAATTTTGATACCATGATGAACACTCGGTGCACTGACATTTTAGGAGTTAATGAAGAGGCGCACATACCACAAGTTATTGTTTAGTGTTTTGATACCTGATATCAATATCGTGGACTTGGTTTGAGATACTACATGCAAAGCCAGCTCTTCCCTTTTTGCATCCAGACTTTCAACACACCATGGATCCTGCACTGCTGTGGTCATAGATCTTTGCAGCACCAGGGGCCAGTTTTATGGATGACATTTTTTCCCACAGGTTGGAGGAAGATTTCAGAGGTCTTTAGCCCTTTTCAAAGCTCCTCAGTGATGTTTGCTTTTTACTGGCTAGGCTTAGAGCGTGGGCTCACCAAGACTGTGACTGAGTGTGGGAGAGGGGTGCAGGCAGAATCAGCAAGTGAAACAATGGATGGGCCATGCATGGATCGGAGTGTTGAGCTCTGACATAAATCCCGCCCTCAGAGGCAGCTGTGCGATTGAAGTACATCACCCCCCTGCCACTATAAAGGCTGCCACCAAATGCAGCTTGTCTCTTGCCCCTCACTGAGAGGGTATTGGTCTGAGTCTGCCAGCCACTGGATTGGCCGAGGGCTCTGTACAGCCTGACCTCTCTGCTATTGTTCACCTGGGTTTGATGCAGTTGTGCTAATCATTGCTTGCATCACTGCCTCAGCTCCACCTGCTATTGTCAGGTGATAGATTCTCACCAGCAGCCACAGCCTAGACCAGTGGTGTATGCAGCTCACGGGGGGGGGGGGTGTTGCACTCCTATGAGAGTCTAATAGAGTTGCTGGTCTAACAGGATGTGCAACTGGAGCTCAGGCAGGAATGGAAGTAATGGGAGTGGCTGTAAACACAGGTGGAGATTTTTCAACAGCCCATTGCTTACCGTTTGCTATGTGTCCTGGCTGCAACAGGTCATAGATTGGTCATGGTCCATGGCCCAGGGGTTGGAGACCCTCAGTGTGCTGTGTAGCTTGTTCCATCAGTACTGAGTGCCTACAGACTCTTGTTATTATTTCCTAAATAATACAATGTAACAACTACTTCTACAGTGTTTGTATCATATTAGATATTATAACATATCTGGACATGATTGAAAGTATCTGGGAGGATGAGCATAGTCTCTATACAAATACTACCTCATTTTACATGAGGGACTTGGGCATCAGTAAATTTTGATCTCTGCGGGGTCCTAGAACTTTTCTCCTATGGATAGCAAGGGATGACTGTGTTCTATTTTATGAAATGAGAAACATTTCACAGGCATCACTATGCAGCCATGGACAACCCTGATGTCCAAAAGGAAGGATCCCTGCCCCTGGAGTTAAGGGTCCTGCTGGTGAGGAGAACTGAAGCTTGGCTGTGGGACCAGGACCAGGGTGACCTGGGGCTTGGCATGAGGGACCCAGACCCCCTGTGCAAGCATTTTGTCAGCTCTCCCATCCTGTCCTCCAATGACCTTTTCACTGCAGCCCAAGTCTTCCCACTGAGCACCACAGCCAAGCCATTCTTCCTTACAGGGTTCCATCCCTGCCCCAAAGGGATGCACCTACCTTTTTCTTACCTGGCCGTGAGCTGAGAACACCTGCCACCTGCAATGCCAGCTGCAACCCCTTGGAACCCGTGTCTTCAGACAGCACCTACTTATTTTAGACAAACCTCAAACTCCTAAAGATAGATTATCAAGCCTTCCTACCAAGTTCAAGCAGAGCACCAAACTGCAGACTTGAATGAGTTTTGAAATCCAAAGCAATGATTTGGAAAAAGAATGAAACAAAGAAAGGAAGGCCAAAAAAGAAAGGGTAGAAAGTATAAGGACAAGTTCCACGTGATGACAAAGAATGTGCACCATTATGCTGATGAAATACTTTCTCCCGAAGGCGAAGGAATGCAAAGGAGATGGGAGAAGTCACCTCTTTGGGCTTGCATCATAAATGCCACTTTGAAAATGCAGGCCAGTCACTCCATCGTTTTAATTCTCATTTTATAAAGTAGTTGTATTCTCCTGTCTCTTTCTGTCCTTGTGTCCGTTTCTCTCTGTCTCTGTCTTTGTTGTTTCCTTACACACACATACACACAGGCGTGAGCAGGCGCATGCCCACAGCTTGCTCTGCTCTCTGATGGTAGCAGAAGGAAGATTCTAAATTTCTCCCAAGTCACTTCTGGTTTCACAGAAACCTGTAGCACCAGAGCCGCACACCCTCTGCAAAGTCTGTCCTTGGCTACACACTCACCTCTCCCTTATCCCGGGAATGTTCTGTGACTGCGGGCTAATATCTGTGAAAAATGCTTTGAACTCCTGAAAAAAGACAATATATTAAAGGACTCGTAACAAATCATTATCCTGCACAGAGCAGAGAACCATGCCCAGCAGAAGGGCTGTGATGGCGGGAGCCTGCTAAGCTGTTGATTCAGCAGTGATCTCTGTGACAGTCAACTGGAGCCATAGATCAGATCCTATAAGAGCATCTCACCAGTCTTCACATTGGGGGAGCTCTTTATAGTAACAAGGTGTCGAATTTCATCTCATATCAATCTACTTTAACATCTAAGTGTTCTTCCAAGAATGTACCCATTGGCCAAATTTAAAACACATTAAATTTTCTTGCGGGGGGCGGATTGAGAGGTGAGAGAGGAATACTTACTTCCCTCAAAATACCTCACTGTGTCCAGCACGCACAACAAATTCAGCTGCCACAGTCCGACAGCGCGGCTGTCCCAGCATCTCCTTCCTGAAGCAGACAGCAGGCTGTGCACATTTTTCACGTGTAATTAGGCAGTGTAAGGCGATCCCCCTGCCGACGGCTGCCGCTGCCCTGGCCCGAGTGAATGGCTTCCAGATTTCACTCCATCTCTTCTGTCTAGACTCTACGTTGCTATTTTTTTTCCCTCCTCGCTTAAAACAGACTCCAATATAAAATGCCAAAAACAGAAGTTTTGTCCTCTTTCTCATAAAGATGTGGGACAGGACTCGCTCTGCCAGACGAGCCTGGCCCCCAGACTTCATAAGACACGTGTCGTCTGAAGCTGACATTAAAGATTGCCCGGGCATTTTGACGGGTCAGGCAAACTGTTTTTTTTTTTTTTTAAATATGGTTTTCATTAAGAATGCGAATATTTCTGGAGAGGTGTGGTTCGGTGCAGAGGCGGGAGGCTGGGAAAGCCAAGGCTGGCTCTTGATTTTCTAAGGAGACTGCTGTGGTGCTGATACTGAAAGGGGCACCCTGGGACCTGCGGGGCTGGCGTGTGAGGCGGGCGGGAATGTCACTGTGGCAACTTGGGCACTGTCTCGGTGGGATGCTATCCTTCCAGTCAAAATAGTCACCTTAGTAAAAGCAAATGGACAACAGTGGAGGCAAAGATCCCCTTTCTTCATTTAAAAAATTTCTACATGTCCCACTCTTGGGGAGTGAAATCTTCATTTCTCCGATCCATACTTTTTTGTTAATGGGATGATTACAGCTGAATTTATTTAGCTTTCACAGCAAGGTGAGATTCTGGGAAGGCGAGACAGGTAGTTGAAAGCCGGGGTGATTTGTTCCACCAAGGCTGGGTAGAGTCATGTTTTGGTTTTTTCAAGCTGTTTTGCTTAATCTCTTCCAAAATTGCTGAAGCTTTTAGGGAGTGGAAACTTTATGTTCTGTTTAACCAGCTAGTTCTCTATGGCACCAAGCAACAAAAATAAAAAGATAGAAAAGAGATACAAGATGGTTCTGCGTTCAGTAGATATCAAAAATCAAATATTTTCTTACAAAGATGAAAATGCATTTCTGTTTCCCTAGAAACAAAGCGAAACAGTAGTGAACATAATTATGAAAATAAATTTCAAATAAGTAGATGAAAATAAATTCAAATAATACCTCTCTATATTTTCATTCTGCCCACTGTTTCATTTTAAAGAATGTCTCAAAGTGCAATACTCATGCACCTAATAGTGAGTATTTTAAAGTCTGAGGACCTGGTTGTGGTTTGTATTGTAAACTCTTTGGAGGCTGTTGCTAATTTTTCCTCAAAATTAACTTTTTCTCAAAATATGAAATTGTCTTTATATTGTAGATCTCAGGTGGAATTCTTACTTTTTCAGAATTGGTTAATGCTCTACAACTTGTTTTTTTATTTTGTTTTTTTGTTTGTTTTTTTGAGTCAGGGTCTTTCTATGCTGTTCAGGCAAGTCCTGAATTCATTATGTAGCCCAGGCTGGCCTCGAACTCACAGCAATCCTCCTGTCTCAGCCTCCCAAGTGCTGGCATGACAGGCACACACCACCATGTCCAACTTAGCTTTTTTTCAAACTAAATACTTTGTCCACTGGCACTGTCTGAACTGTAGAAAAGTTGACTGCATGTTAATTCTTTCAAAGGCAATTCAGCCACAGTTGAGCTGAAACCAATAATCTGATAGTAATTTCTAAATTTCTGTGCTGCACAATATTCCAGAGAATTTGAGAAACAGAACGAGAGGGGGAACAGATTTGTGACTTTGAAAAGCCCTCCGTCTGAGAGGTCTTTAGTAGCTGGGAGGAGACAAGGGGCACAGGCTGCAGGCTACAGGGCGGGACCCGGAAAGCTGAGATGGGGATTGAGATAATCTCAAGGAAACAGGAGAGTTTTGGGGGCTAAGGAGGGGTGGAACGGTAGGGCCACAAATTTCGCTTTTGAGTTTATGTCTCATTTTCCTAGCAATGGTAGACCCAGTGCCATATCTCTCCCTGAAAATATAAATTCTTCCAGAGATCCTGCCGGCTTCTTACTAAAGAGATACAATATGCCCCCTGGCATTATGAAACTCGGTGAATGATCAGTATGTGAGTTGATAACACAACAACAAAGATTCCAAACGTGTTGATAAATGGTGGCAAATGCATTTTATTCTTTGATTTCCAAATCTGTGCTTGCATGATTGATTGATTGATTTTTTAGTATTGGGGATTAAACCCAGGGTCCTCATACTCAGCTACAACCCCAGCCCTTTTTCAAGTTGTTTTTTTTTTTTTTTTGAGACAAGTCTGGATAAGTTGTTAAGTTACCCATTCTGGGTTAGAACTTGTCATTCGACTGCCTCAGCTTCCCAGAGTGCTGGATATATTTGTATTTTACGGTAATGGCAGCAGTTAATACATTTATAACATGGAGTTCAATTTCATGCAATTTATATTTAAAAACTGTGGGGAAGAAGGAGCCCTCCCACACAGTTGGTGGGAAGGTGAACTGGTGCAACCACTATGGAAATTAGTGTGGAGATTCCTCAAAAGACTAAACCTAGATTTTCCATTTGACCCAGCTGTTCCCCATCTAGGTACCTTCTCCAAAGAGTTAAATTAAATACATCGTATTACAGGGATCCATGCACACCCATGTTTATAGCAGCACAATTCATAACAGCTAAATCTTGGAAGCAGCCTGCGTCCATCAACAGATGAATGGAGAGAGAAAGGGTGGTATTTACACAGAGTACTACTCTGCCATGAAAACTTGAGTGAGTTGTGGGAAAATGGATATACCCTGAGACCATAATGTTAAATGAAATAAATCAGACACATTAACTTAAATATCTTATGGTTTCTCTTTCATGAGAAACCCAAGTTATAAATAAAGAACAAAATAAAAGGTGGATAATAAAAAGTAGGGAGACAGATCTTTCTCCTTTGGGAGCGGCGTCAGGAGAGGGAGGGAGGGAAAGGAGGGAAGGGGTAGGGAATACAGAAAGGAATTAAGTAAGATGTGTTATGTACACGCACCAGCTCCACACAGGGAGTGAATCATCATGTACACTAAACACGATTAATTAAAATTTTCTTTCAAAATCAAACCATAAAAAGACTTGTCTGAATGTAATGCTGCCCTGTCACACTGTGACCTCGCGTTTCTGTGTTTATAGCGTTTGTGTCAGTGAGAGTCACCTGACTTGAATTTTGCTTGGATATCCAAATAAAACCCCCCAGACGGCGCAGTTTGCGTCTACTTACGGTTACGTGGCTGTGCTGAACATTCCGTGTCGCATCACATCTGCACCACGTCTGGGTATGAAGCGTGAGTCTTGTGAATTTTCACGGTTCTCTCTCTCATCACGCTACTCTTGAGGCTCCAAAGGAATGCTCTTCCCCCAGATGGCACCAATTCCTGCAGTGTAGGAGTCAGGTCTCCCATCGTCCCAGTGCCTGGCCGGATGCACGCTGTGCCCGTACCCGTGAGCTTAGGGGTTCTTGAGGGTGGGCTTCCCTTCTCTATGTAGAGAGCAGAATGACGAAAAATCCCCCGCCCGCCTATTTACAAGAAGCCCGACTAGGACTCTGACGTCACAAGAGATTTCTCCTGCAGCTAAATTCTTTAATAGTTCGTTGCTCTACTTCTAACAGTCATTAGCCCCTACAGCCTTTGTGTAGACTTTTATGTACATGCCCTGAATTTCTCATAAAGAAGTCAGTTCCTGGAACACACATCACTTAGTTCTCTCTTTCCGGAGATATCACTGTACCGAGCACAGCACTTTGAATGTTGCGAGTGCTTCGAGATCATCTCCTGAATCTGTCCTTTCTGCTCTTCTATAGTGTTACAAACAGGTGAGAGACAGAGCATCAGTTTTTGTGTTTTCTGTATGGGGCTGGGCCCCTGGCCCTAGGAGAAAAGAGACCTCCCCGCAGCGGCTCCATGAAGCTTTGCTGATCTTTAGGAAGTATCTAAATGTTCTACTCATTACACCTCAGGTGACTTCCTGATTCTTCTGAAAGTAGGGGGACATTTTGGCCAAGCAGAGGGGGAGCAACCTGGTCCTTTGCTCCTTCTTTAATGTATTTATTTAAAATAAGAGAAATGAAACCCAAGAAAATCTGCTGATGGTTTCAACTGTAATATAGCTTAGAGATCTATCCACAAGCAAAACTCAGGGCCTGCTCTGCCAAGCATGCGGCCGTGGAAATCTTCTGCAGACAGAGGCAGTGGTAGCAACGCCTCTCCCAGCATGGTAACAGTCAGCCAGTGTGTAAAACATGCCGTCCTCGTGGGCTCAAATTCTGCACATTGGTGCATAATTCTTTTTTTCTGTTCATATTAGCGCAGGTTTGGAGTTGTTTTCAGAAGGCTGAATAGCTCTCATTTAAATTATTCAAAAGTTGTATTTGGCTGAATGTTGAGTTTAGTTCATTCTTAAACTGGGATCTTTTCCAAGGATTGTTAAAAAAAAAAAAGTCAACTCCAGTGACTTTGGTAGTGAAAAAATGTAGCTACTTTGGTGACAGCCAGTATAAAGATGTGGTCTGGGTGGAGGACATGGTCCACAGCAGGATTTGGGGGTGACGAGGATCTGCTGAAGCTCATAGAAAGAAATGAAGCCCCAGTAATAGCCACAGAGGTGTGGGAAGTGGAAGGGACTTTTCAGGGGTGTTAAAATGTCCCCCAAGGTTTCATGTTTTTGGAAGGTGATTGGATCATGGGGGTACAGTATTCATCAGCGGATTCATCCATGGATGCGTTTAAGGCTGAATGTGCTGTCAGGAGTTTGGGTCTGATTGGAAGTGGTTGCTAGAAGTGCGACCTGGAAGGGTGTGTTCTTGTGCCCAGCTCCTCCCTTCTCTCTACTTCCTGGCTTCCGTGGGATGAGCAGCTTTCCTTTGCCCAGGCCCTTCCACCACGCCATTCTGCCTTGGAGCCTGCTGACCATGGACTGAACCCACTGTGGGCTAAGTAAACCTCTCCTCTTTACATTGTGCACGTTGGAGATTTTGTCCCAGCAATGCCTGAGTGACTAAACAAGGGGAAAGGTGCATCTGTAGTGACCTAAGCTTCAGGCAGGACATCATAACAACTGCGCACTTTCACCTTCATTGCCCAGAGGAAAGGACAGCTGAGCTGACCTATTAATTCATAAGCAATTTGGCACTCCACTGCCGCCCACAGGAAATATGCCCAAGGAAGACCACTCCTTAAAATGTAGCGCTCGGGAGAAAGGTTCATGTTTTGTTTTCTTTGGAAACTGGGCACCAAAGCTCTGAGTTTTGGAGTTGCTTTTCTAGAATGATGACTTGAAACCATTTATTGACTATGGCTATAAATGAGCAAAAATCTGGACCTGATTGATTGATGGGATTAATACAAATTGATTAGCCTCAACTCAGCCCAGTTTACAAGAGGCTACTTCAGATAGATAAATAGATGATATTATATATATAGAATGGCATATATATAGAGAGAAGATATTATATATGGAAAGAGAGGACAACTTACACAGACTTCATTATGTTTTGTTTTTTACCTCCAGTATATTTTAATCTCAGCCAAAGTAGACCCAATTGAATTAATTTCAACCCAATTTAAAAAACATTTATTCACTATCTCCCTTGTGCCAGGTTCTGAAAGTACCAAGATAAATAGGACAAAACCACCCATCAAGAAATATGCAGACTGCAGGAGACAGATCACGACCTACTCAGTACCACATGTTGGAAAGGCAGGAGTGGAACAGGAGCAGAGCACACGCAGGCAGGAGCCTAAGGACAGATGCTCTTTCAAGGCTTTCTCCGCTGCCTCTCTGACTTCCCAGACAGACAGACGTGGCCCCGTGGCCCCGTGGCCCCAGTCCTGGGGGCCCACACAGCCCTGGACCTTATGCTCAGTGCTGGGTAGGGCTTGCTTTCTCTGGCCCTGCCAGTCTAGCAGTCAAGGTCACTCACAGGTGATTCGGGGCTGCACCCTCTGACCTCCAGCTCTTCTTTCTGCCGTGTTTTCTTGCCATCTTTGGTTGAAATTATTCTTAAAGAACACTGCAAAGGAGGGGACCATCAGATGGTGCGTAGGTACTTAGGGCTGTAGCATTTGCATCAGTGATGGTGGCTGGAGCAGAAGACCTCTCAAGTATTGGAGTATTATCTTAGGCAGCACGTGAGGAGCTGCTATCAGCTAGCTGGCTCTGTAGTGATGCTAAGGATGAGTCTGGATAGCCAAGGTCCTCAGAACCCCACTGTCATGGTTCCTATTTTTGTTCCCATCCAAAACAAAACTGTGGGTTCCAGTTGCTTTCCTGGGAAGTGATTCCAGGAGGCAAAGGTAAGGGGTGGAGAAGAGACACAGCCAGTGAAGAGAACATTCAGGGGCTGGCCCTCCTCTGGGTTAGTCTGGGCTCCATCTTCTAAGGAATTGTCCAGACTGTGCCTCAGTGCTGTGCCTCCGGGGGATGGGAGCTGGGACATGGATCCACCAAACACTGTGGCTCCTTGACTGGGAATTGTGCCCTCTGACAAGCAAATCCTGGCACTACAGGGCTGCCTGACCCAGGGAGTGCTCAACTCCAACTTTCTGTAGAGAAGGTACGAATGTAGGTGCTCAGAGCAGGGAGAAGCTGTTGGCATATGTGGAGAATGGACTGCTGCAACTATGGGTGAGCTCAGAGAGGTGGCTAGTGAGGTTCAGGGCATGGAGTCAACTCTGCTGCTTATAGTTAGGTAGTAGGAGGTGAGCTGGGTTGGTAATGGTCCTATCAGAAGCTCAGGATGTGGTAACAAAGGCCAAGATTTGCTAAGATGGATTCTTCTTCCAATGCTGTGCTGGATGCTGTGAAAATCATAGGTTGTTCACAGTCAGAAAGGACTGGGAGACAACCTTGGGTATAGAGGAAATTAATGTAAGAAAGTAACAAAATAGAAAATCTGACTCTGAGGAGGCCAAAATAGGAGGATCACAAGTTCAAATCTAGTCTGGGCAACTTAGTGATTAGAGATGGTCTATCCCAAAAGTAAGAAACAAAATTAAAAAGGGCTGAGGGTATAGAGCAATGTGAAGGTCCTGGGTTTAATCCCTAGTACTACAAAGAAGGAAGGAAGGAAGGAAGGAAGAAAGGAAAGAAGGAAGGAAGGAAGAAAGGAAGGAAGGAAGGAAAGGAAAAGGAAAGGAAAGGAAAGGAAAGGAAAGGAAAGGAAAGGAAAGGAAATCGGGACCCAAGTTGTGGGAGACCCAACTACCTATGCAAAAGTATTACAAATCTTAATTGACATCACACATCACAATTTACATGTACAGTCAAAGGTAATTTTAATTTTTAATTTTTTTTTTTTGATGACACTGAGCTTCCTCCTATGCCCCACCTGTTGGTTAGCCGGAAGAGTATTAACTTTGTGACCAGCTCTGCTTTATAGCTTCGAGTCTGATTTAACAAACAGACTCTTTAGGCAGGGCTGGGTCTCCCTTGGGTAACGTGCATGGTTGCCTTCCCAAGTTTCTTCCAAGATGGCGCCAGCCCATGGGATTGGTGTGGTCTATGGCAGCGTCTCTCAAGCTCTCCATGGTGAAAAACCCTTCTGGTGTTTGTTCTAAAACTTCCAATACGTTGCTAATGGATATTTTGTAATATCTAAGAGAAATAAGTTACCAGAGAAAAATGAAAAAAGACATGTGAAATCCAAGCTCAAATTTTTATCCTTAGGTTGAACAGACATAAAACCACCCTGTCGGATTGCTATAGAAGTTTTTCCATGTTTACTCTCAATCTCTGGACTTATCTTGTCACGACTGGTAGCACATTTCACAGACTGGTACCCATCCAGGGACCGCACTTGGAAGGGTATCTGTCTCTCCGAAGGGACAAAGTCCTCAGACACCACACGCTGGGCTGTCTGGGGAGGTCTCTTAGCATCTTGGTTGCCAGTCACCCTGTCGGTGTCTGTGGCTGAAGCCTGCGGTTGGTGGACCCCATCTGGAGCTCGTCTCGGCATCTCCTGGCATCTCCTGCTCACTGTCTGCTGGCAAACACCAAAGCTTGGCCACATCTTCCCCCCCGCCTCCGCACAGAGGCTGCCTTAGGAGGCTGGCGGTCTCCGCAGTGGCCCATGGGGTCCCAACTCCACACCACGGATCTCTCAGCCCCCACTGCCCCTCCCCAGGGTCTGGACTGTGGAAGCAGCCAGGGCTGCCTTCAGGGACCAGACATAAGCTCCCCTCTGGACTGTGGGTACCGCCAGTGCTCTTGTTAGGGACCGATGCAAGCTCCCCTCTGGCCTGCACTTAGTCTGTCCTGTGCTCGCCAGGCCTCCCTTTGTCTTTCCCACCCCTCCATGGGCTTTTGAAGGAGTAGTTCTTTTTGTATAATTTCCTCCCCCTCCTGCATCCAAATTCCCAACTGCAGCTGAGGGGCAAGGGGGACCTGTGTCTTCTACACCACTCGTGGGAGCACTTGGCAGGCAGGATAATCCAGGCTGGGCCTGGGAAGTGCTGGGTAAGTGCAGAGACTTAGAGAAATGCAACTCGGGTCCTGCCCCACCATCCAACTTTGCTCCTGGAGTTTCTTCTGCAGCCACTGCTCCCCTTCACTCAGGCAGACAGATGGGCAGACAGACCGTGAGGACTGCCTTGTGAAGGCAACAGTGAAGATGCATATTGATAACTTTTGAATTCTCCTCCTGTGGCACATGTGCAGGCTGCCTGCCAGGCAGGAGACAGGCCGGCAGCTTCGTGAACCAGGGTATGGGAAGATGTTGTTGGCTGTAGGTGAGTGGGTGTAGGGAGATGCAGTCAGGCCCCAGTCCAGTGGCCAGATGTGAGGGTATAAAACCCTGGACAGTGGGGCATGGTGGTGCATGCCTGTAATGCCATCACTCTGGAAGGGTGAGCCAGAGGAATAGTAAGTTCAAGCCCAGCCTGGGCAATTTATTGTTATTATTATTATTATTTTGATTTTTTGTTTTTTTTCTGGTACCAGGAATCGAACTCACGACCTTGTACCTGCCAGGTAGGCTCTATGCCGCTGAGCTAAATCCCCAGCCCCCAGCCTGGGCAATTTAGCAAGACCCTGTCTTAACATTAAAAAATAAAGAAGGTCTGGGGACGTAGCTTGGTGCAAAGGTCTTGGGTTAATCCTCAGCACAGCAAAAACAAAACAAAACAACTTGGGTGAGAGGGCTGGGCTTTGGGAATGGGCAAAATAGTAGGGAAGCTGGCCATGCAGCGCCCATGCCAAGATCTGGTGTGAGTCCCAACTCACTTGCTAGCTGTGAGAACTTGGAGTCTCCTTTGTGTGGCCAAGAAAGGGACTCAGGAGGTGAATGTGTGTGTGACTCTCGGTCAGTGGCGCATCCACGCTCATGCTGCCTGCCTCCGTGGAGAGGGACAGGATGGTCCAGACAATGTGCAGCATGGTGGAGAGGTTCCAAGGTTGCAGGACTTCGTGAATGAACAAACAGGGACACCAGCGATAGAAGGAAGGGACTCCAGCCAGGCAGCTGTTTTGGAGTTGGGAGTTTAGCTTTTTAAATGTGCTCTCCTTGGCATGTCTGATTAGACCAAGATTCTGAACTACTTTCACTGCTGATTTAATGGCTGTCATTTCAGCAGCTGAGATCCTCAACCCTGAAAGTCCAGTCTGACTACCTAGGGAGTTTGAAAGGCACCTACAGTGCCTCAGTCTCCCTGGAAGCTTGAGGTTCTGGCTCAGTGGTCTGATGTCGGGCTCCTGAGGTGGGAAGGACTGTGGAAGCTTCCAGCAAGATTTGATGTGCAGGAAGGTCTCCGATCACTGCTGTACAGACAGCCATGCTCCACCGGACCTGGCAGACACAGGATGGGGCTCTCATAGGCCATCCAAGGAGGATGCTATTCTCTTGCTCTGATGCATGACAGTAGCAAGAAGTAGGTGGGTGAGGGTTGGCCAGGAATTCTGGGCGCGAGTGACGCTTCTGTCTCAGCCTTCTAGGTAGCTGGGACTATAAGTGCTGCCACTATGCCTGGCTGAGAAGTGTATTTTCTAACAGGTTCCCCTATAAATCAATCAACCAGTCATGATGCCAAAGATTGGGGTTATGAATGTGAATAACCCATGTTTTTCCTCAGGAGGTCCTGTGTTTAGCATACTTGGTTCTATCTGTCTCAGTAGCTTCACTGAATGTGTAAGAAAATTGTGGCTTCTACTTATTCAAGGTCACTGGTAAGGGCTGGATGCCTGATCTATCCATTCTTCATTGTGTACTTTATCTAAATTAGACTTTTTAACCATTAAAACTAGAATGGGTCATCCATAACCAGGTAATGATTTACAATTCTGGAGTATAAAAAGAAAATCATTAGGGTATTGATTTTGTTTAAATGAATGTACTACCATGTCAATGGCTTCACCAATATGCAAATCAGGAAGAAACTGTCTAGATTTTCTAACAATGCAACTATTTTCAGTCACGAGGCTTCATGCCACAAAAAGGCATGGGGACAATCGTTCGCAGACAGGGTTAGCATCACCACGCATGAAACTCCCAGGGAACTGCTGGAGAATAATCATCAACGGGGCTGCAGCAAATCTCCATGTACACCAGATAATTCCACTTTAAAAATACAAATAGAGCTCCTGATCCATTTTGTATAACCTCTGTCACCAGAGCTCATGGGCAGACGTACAATGTGTTTCCCATCAACCTCTCTTGTGCGTTATGCAAGTTGATAGGAATTATGCGTTCTGCAATTTTACGGAGCAGTTTGTGGTCGCTCAGGGTTATTGAGAACTGCTGTGCAGGCTGAAGACAAACTGCCTCCGACAGAGATGGAGAGAGGCTCCTGGGGCGAGCACTGCACCCTAGGCGTTCACATGGAAGGGTGCACAACCCCCAAAATGGACTTCTCAGCAGCTGATTATAAAAGACATTAGTGACACCGGTGGAGAAAGTTGAGGTCTCTGTCCGGCCGCCCTGTTCATTTACAGTCAGCGGCAGAAATCAGGAACCGGCAGGAGGGGTCTGGGTAGAGGAAACAGAGACTGCCTTCACAGCCCTCAGCTCCGGACTTCCTTCTCCCACTTCCTTCCTCATCTTTGGCTACCTGTATGCGTGCACTGCCTGTTGCCACCTGGGTAGGTGGAATTTGGAATGGACGGGGCCTCCCCACCCAACCTGTCTCAGTGAGGGACAAAGGTCGCTGTGGGCGGAGAGGGGGCCACCCTCTGAGCACCTCCCCTGCATTCGAGCTCGACAAGGACGCACAGAACTGAGCTGCAGTCCCTCGTCTAAAGCTGAAGCAGACATGTGAGCATTTACTGCAGAGGGATATGCTACCCTTCCTAGATTTCACACATGCACACTCAGCCTGCTGGGCCATAAAGCAAGCTCAAAGATGTCCGGGTAGGGACAATAAAGACCAGACCTTCTAAAATGATAACCAGGGTTTTGTAACTCTTAACGCTGTGCACGCTATATTAAAAAGTGGACGACTTTTTGAACTGCAACCTTTACATCCCAATCCAATAGTTCTTTTAGCTTTGAAATATCCACAATCTGAATTTTATAGGGATTATTTTTATTGTAGGTAAGGCAATTAAATTGCCATATTGGAAGGATGTAAACCTTTTAAGGCCCTTCTCAGAATATCAAAAGAAAAGGAGGCTTATATTTAACAGGTGTGACAGCCCCATGCAAGACATTTCATTGAAAAGGAGCTTGACATTATCCAGGGACAAATACTTAAATTAATCCAAAACATCTTTTGGATAAAAGGGATTTTAAAAAGAATTAGATTGATCACAAAACTTAATATAGAAAGAAGACTATCTCACAAATGAGATACTTAAAAATGCTAATTTTAATGGTATGTGTCAAGCAGCACTTTTTGCAAATGTTTTTCTTTTAAGTGCAATATTAACTTAATTAGAATTATGGGATTTATCCATGAGAAGGACAGTGAATGTGTCTCCTTTGCTTGTATTCCTCTGACCTCTCAGTTAACTTACAGATTTACCTCCTTCAAACTGATTTTCTCCTATTTGACCTTAATCGTAGAGCAGACAGAAGGAAATCTGTGGTTTAGGGTGAGGATCCAACAACAGAAGGAACTTTCTAACTACAGCTGTAAGATACAGCCAGTTGGAGGAGCTGATACAGCATGATCTACGAAAAGCTCTGGGGCTCTGGGTTCTAATATTCTTCAAGTTTTGTCAGTTGGCTCAGTGTATGTTTTTTGGCTTTTAAGAAATTCTCCCTGTGTGAGTGCCTGCGGGTGTGCATGTATGCGGTGTCCTTTGGGAAACAGGAAAATAGTAGTGAGTTCCCAATGAGATTCTGTCAAAACCGTAACTTTTCTGAGCTTATTCTTTCTCTTCTCAACAGGGCAACATGAGTTGTTAAAACCATATTTTTTCCACCGTTAAAGTGCAGTGCTTTATTCTTAAACCACGTTTATTTGTTGATTACACACATAATGTTATTTTTACCACTGTTCTATATGACTGTAATCTTCAGGGCTGGTAATGATGACTTGGGCACCCAGAATATTAAAAACACTGGACAGAATCTCTTTACCTGAAAATGAATGTTCAGAGCATTCTAGGGTGAGTTTTGTACACTAACCACCAATAAGATGATTCCAAAAATGTAGTGATGTATCCTGGACCCGGAATATTTGGAGAATAGAGAAAAAAGGAACCAAAAGATGCATTTGATAACCAAGGGGAGAGGCGGGTCTAATATATTTTGAGAGCATGTGAACTGCAATATTGTAACCTGTATAACAACTCAATATGAAAGACAACAGAATCAATGGATTTAGGAAAGGACAAATGGAGCACAGATTGTGTAGACCGATACGATCTATCACTAATTACTCACATTTCAATATGCAGTCTGCTCTTTGTACCATGATCTCAGGAAGAAAAGGATGCAGCCTTCTCAGACACTTAACTCTATTTTCTGTATTTATTTGCATTGCTATCTCCTCTGGAGAGGTGACCGTGCATTTGATCCCCTGTAGCTTGCCTGTTCCTTAGAGAAATTTCCAAGGAATGCGTGTGTAGCTTCCCAAAGTTTCCCTTCTTCAAGGCTAACACTTCCCTTGCTTGGTGGAGTCTCAAATTAATGGTCCCATTTCGGCATCCCTGGGATTAAAGATGCCCTCTGAGGAAAAAAAAAAAAATCCCCTCTGAACCCACAAGTCCTCTGCAGAGGCGGTTTCTACACTCAGCTGCTTAGTTCCATTTTATTTTCCCCCTTAGCAAACAGGAAATGGAGCCCTGAAGGCTTTTTTATTTTTTATTTATTTTTTTAAAATTGGAACGTGTGTGGGAGGGGCACACTCAGCCTGCCCACATGCAACCCCGCGCCTGACCCAGACTTGGGGGTCTCTCTGTGTTTTTTCTTCTCTCTCCCTTTTTTTTCTATTATTTTGGCAGACTTTTTGGAATGTCTGGGAGCTAAGGGCTTTGCTTCATGGAGCAGAATTCTGAAGCAAGAAAAAGAGAAAGTTATAGACTAAACCACAGAAATGTAAACAAGTCTGCAGCTAAAATAACTCCACTTTCATTGAAAACACTGCTCCTTCACAATCAGACTTCTGTGTGCTACGGTCAATAAAACGGCATGTTAATAGCGACCAATTAATAGATTATGTTGCTCGGTCTTAAAAGTTGAGGGAGTTTTAATTATTATTTTTCAAATTAAAGGAGTGCTTATTCCTTCCCTTCCCTTGGGGTGGTGGGGAGGACTTAGCTTTCTTTCTGGCTGTTTGCTGACGTTCTTGGCTGTTAAAGTTTGGAGAGGGAGGGAGATGGGTAGTTCGCCTTCGGGCGGAATAGGGAGAGCTTTCGGGAGGGCGCCGGGGACGTTTTCCTAGAGATCGCGCGCGGGGACCGTCGCGCCGGCCCACGGGACCGGGGGGAGATCGGCGGCACCAGGTAAGCGCGATTTTGATTTTGATGTCAAACTGCACTTAGAAACCCAAATATCCGGCCGAGGCTTAGCCGAGGAGCGCGGAGCCTGGGCCGCACCTTTCGGAGCTGGTTCTCGCCGGGACGCTGCGCTCCCGCGGGGCTGCGGGCCCGGGTCCGCTCCGCCTCCGGCCGCGTGCTCCGGGCTCGGGCTCCGGCTCCGGCTCGAGGGCGCAGGCA